CAGGCGCACAAAACTGTTTTCAAGATTGCCCAGCCTCTACATTGTCTTGCAAGAAAGAAATATAGGGCAGTTGTCTCATTCATATCAACCCTAGTCAGTGAGTTCTGACCGAGCTGGATGCCTTCTAGGGCAGAGGGGGTATTTCCTTAAACACGGAAGGTCTCTTATCACCCTTACTAAGGTGCAAGCCAACATGTTTTTTGGGAGAAAGACATGTTAGTGCCTAGCTTCCACCTGAAAATGTAATTCTGAAGATGCCCTTGGAAAGAAAGTGTTGCTTATAATTGATGGTGACCAAATAGAACCTGCATCAGTGAGGGGGCACAAGTTGAAAGTGCTTCCAGTGTAGTCCACCTGGCTGGATTATTGCCTTGAGAGTTCAAAATTCGGTTTAAATAATTGAGTCTATTCTTTTTTTTTTTTTTTTAAGAAGGACTACCAGTTTTTCCACAGTACCAGCTGGTTGGCTTTCCTCTGCCCAACTAAATGATTAAAAATTGGGGTGGGGAAGACATCCAGATGTATTTTGGGAGTAAGGGCCATCCGGTGCTCTTTCAGGTAGACATCTTGAGAAAGTTAAGAGACATGGACAGACTCATCTGGAAGGGGATGGATAGGTGACCTAAGATTCAGTTGACTTTAAGTAAATAAAGTCAAGTAAATAAAATAAAGTTTTGAAGAGTCATACTGAGATATTTTCTTTCATGTGAAAGTTTCCACAGAAGGTTCTGAAAGAAAATTATGATTAATTTTCCTCCTTTCCTTATTCTTTTTGATATCTAAGATGTTCTCTCCCCAGGCACCAGGATTGGTGCTTCCTTCATGTTCATAAAATCAGTGTTTCCATTTCAATAGCTAGAACCTCACCCCTTTTCCAGTCATCTCCTACTCACACCAAACCCTTTCAGACAAAGGATCATTTGCAAGAGCAGCAAGGCCATTTCTATAAGACTTACAGATACCTACTATGTCCTATACTTTGTCCTGTATGGGCTACTGTAGGAGGATTCAATAAGCAGTGGACAGCCAAATGGTCATTATCCTTATGATATAAGACCATATCAAGCAAGAAGAGATCCAGGTGGCTGGACCTGAATTTGGTTTGAATCTCCTATGTCCCGTTTTGGCTTAGCAGTCAAGGTGTGACAACCAAGCTAGCCAAGGATTGCCCTTAGGAAAAAGAAAATAGCATTATGGTCAAGAATAGTTAGAGCAGAATCTCACATTTTCAAAAGATGTCTGTATGCTACCCCCACACCTTGTTCATCATTGTCACCCAGGAAGTGGCTGAGGGAGGATTATTTCTTTCTGAGATGACCATACTCAGTGACCAAACTACCTTATTAAGCTGTAGACAAGGAAAGAGTATGAAAGCTAAAGATAGGAAATGTTCTTCATTATTTTTGAGAAGATAATTCTAAAACTAAGTGATACCAGATATTTGCAGATGTCAGGGAGTGTGGAAAGTCCATCTACATGGACCATTGAATATTTTGACCCTCAACAAATTTTTCTATGGTTTTTGAAATAAAAAGCATACTATTGTCTGATTGATTATGGTCTGAAAAGAGAGGTAGAGCCTTTATCTTTGGTCCCTGAGAGGTAATATCCGAGCCCTTGTAATGTTCTGCCTGCTAAAAATATCTTTGTTTACTGGCAGGTTTTGAGATGTAGTATGATTTAAGGTGGGGTCTTTGGGTCATGAGGTCTCAGTCAATCACCTGAGGGGCTGGAGACTGTGGTCAGCCATGTTGGTGGTCAATCAGGTTTATGTGATCAAGCCTCAATAAAAAGTCTGAACAACAAGCATCAAGTAAACTTCCCTGGTTTATAATATACCATGCACATTATCACAAAGCAAGTTTGAGGAAGTAACAAACATTAAGACTCCTTGGGATAGGACAACTGGAAGCTCCATATTTTGGAAATTTCCTGGGCTCTGCCCTATGCACTTCTTTTCTTGGCTGATTTTAATATGTTACAGCTGAGAAACGCTGAGCTTAGGGAACCTGAATCTTTTATAATGAGCTACAAGCAATTCTGAACAATCATTGCCTTAGAGAAAGGTATTATCTTTTTTTTTATACTGGACATTTAACAAACCTGCATTCTTCTTTGGAGGGAGACACTATTGTCCAAGGCTGTTTTCCATGTAAACATACTTGTAAAGGTTGTTTGGAACCAAAGGGCAGAAAAAGCCTTTGTTTTTGTAAGATATGCAGAAATGCTAGATTTATGGAGAATTGTTTTCTACCAACCAGTTCTTAAAAGTAACGATTTTTTTTCTTTTTGTATTCCTACCAAAATATTACTCTACTTACTTTTATTCTAATAAACATATGGATTAGAATAGAATCTGTCATGGGGAGAATGGCAAAACCAAGCCTGCTAGAGGTGGGCATGTTAGTACAAAAGTGAAGGGTCACCAGTAACTCAGCTTACAAGTTGGGGCATGCTGATCTACTAATAGGGGAGAGTCCATTGATTAAGGCAGCATATGTTTATTGAGCACCTACAATGTCCTATATGCCACTTGTTACTTTTAGACATACAAAAGTTAGAGAGAAGGCACATAAAGTAACTATAATGCAAGTGGTGGTACTTCAGTTAAGGGACTGACTGTGAGTAGTAGGAATCCGGTAAAGAACGTGTGTCTTGAAGGGATAGTGTGAGTTTTCCATGGGTAATGCTGTTGGGTGGGGAAAGGAATTCTATGAAGAAAAAAGTATAGTACTGGCAAACATCTACAGAGTATCTCAAGAAACATTTGGTAGTTTGGCTGAAATGGAGATGAAAGAATGGGATAGGAGATATCACTGCATAGGTAAGTAGGTCCAAGCTAAGGGTGAGCTGTAACTTCTATACTAAGAAGGTTGGGCTGCATCTGTAGGGTAAGAAAACCTTGAAGGTTTATACATGGAGTTATGGCACCATCAATCTGCATATGCTGAGAACCTTTTGACTATTGTAAAATAAATATAAGAAAGGATTGGAGTTAGAGACATTTGAAAGGCAAATGTGATATACTTGCAAAATGTACTAGGGGGCAGAGTCAAGGTAATAGCAAACAGTGGGAGACAGTCTTTTCAAACTAGAGGGGAAGGTTTATGTGTAAGAAGAGCAGAAAAAAAATGACATCCCTGTTTCAAAACTTGTTTATTGGAAAAGTAGCCAAACAATGTCATTTTGATGATTATATCACTTTGATAATGATAGAGGCTTATTCACAAAACTTTTAAGAATAAACTTGTTAAATACTGTAAGGTAAAGAATGTGCTTGAATTGGTGCTGTGACTTTCTACTCTCCCATTTTGTTTTATGCATTTGTAATGAGGCATAGATTGCACAAAACTTTCCTCATTACCAATGTTACGCATTTTTGAAGTAATCTGCAAAAACAGAATTAATATTTGGACAGTTTTTCCTGTGTTTAACAATCATGACTTTAATTTTTTTATGACTTTAATTTTTTTATTTGAATCATCTGAAAGTAGAATAACACTGTTATCAGTTCTAAAGTTTAAAAAATATAGACCTGGGGCGCCTGGGTGGCTCAGTCGTTAAGCGTCTGCCTTCGGCTCAGGTCATGGTCCCAGGGTCCTGGGTTCGAGCCCCACGTCAGGCTCCCTGCTCCGCAGGAAGCCTGCTTCTCCCTCTCCCACTCCCCCTGCTTGTGTTCCCTCTCTCGCTGTCTCTCTCTCTGCCAAATAAATAAAATCTTTAAAAAATATACATATATAGACCAAATACTCAAAGAATCACCAGAAACTAAAGCTTTATTAAATCTGAAATCAAATTTCTACTCTATCAAATAATCACAAAAACTATAGCTTTGTTAAATTTTGAAGTCAAATATCTTTATTTCTATACTCAGGGGTTATTAATATTGCTGTTAAGGGGAAAACTTTTTATGTACAGTAATCAGTGGCTTTATGCAGAGATAAAAATACAAAGAATCCTTGCAAATAATTAAACATCCTAATTCTGGATAGTCTTTGATTAATACATTGGAAGGCAAACCACCTCCAATGTCTTGCAATGTGGCACTGAGATAACACTGCAGCTGATCTTTCATTGTTCTAGCTGAAGATTAATTATCTCCCTTCCTCCTATAATATCCGTTTAGTACCTTATAAATTGAATCCAGCTATTAGCACTATTCATTTATTTCCTGTGAAGATGGTCAAAGCTTTATCTACTTGAGTGTTAGATTTAGTATCACTTTTCATTTCCTTCTTAGCTAAATACATGTTCTTCTAAATAGCTTTATTCTAATGTTTTTCCCTCACTTCACAACTCCCCCACCCAGAGACACAAACACAATGCACACACTCACACACTAATACAAAAGATCTTTTCCTTTTTTCCACGGTAGCTTTGTAATAGATTTATCATATTTATCAGGATTGAAAAAGTATCACAAAATGAGGGAAAGATCATGACTTTTAGTGAGGCTATGCCTCTGGACTGTGAAGTTTACAAATTGTTTTTTTTTTTTTTTTTTCCCAGAGGCTATGCCTCTGGACTGTGAAGTTTACAAATTAGATTTTGTTTTTTTTTTTCCTCCCCCTCTCTTGGTGGGACAAGATGGGTAGGGTGGGCTGGAGTTGGGTATTTCTCCCACCGCAGGTCAGTTAGGTTCTGATAAAACCCCAGCCTGTGAGACTCTGGTTAACTGGTTTCCCCCCGAAGGCAGGACTTGTTAAGAAACAAATGCTCTGGTGTATTTCAAAACAGTTCTTTACCCCCCAACCATTGCCAGAAGGAAGAGGGGATTTTTCTCTGATATTTACTGTGAGAACCTGGTTGTGCTCCTGGAGGTAAGACTCACAAAAGCATGGGGACCCCACATGACTGGGTCTCCATGGATTTTTTAACTCTTAGACTTGTCTGCACTAAGCCTCTAGCAATTTGTCAATTACAGTTCAAGTTTTCCTCCTCCAGCACTGGTTCCCCAGGCAGTTTCACTCAGCTCCAGTAAGCTGTGACTCCCCATGTACCTTTGTTTGTCTCTCCAATCTGGGGAACAGGGGTTTTCTCTGTGTCCTCAGCTCCTTTATGGATCCAAGAAGAGTTCTTGATTCTTCACTGTGTTCAGCTTTTTACCTGTTGTTGGGACTGAGTGATTTGTTAGCAACACATGGTGACAGAGAGATATAAGCTGGGCTTCAGAGGCTGCCCATCTTCTAAATTTAGGCAGGTATTGGGCATCCAGTTAGGCTAGCTTCAGTGCTTCGCAGAGTGCAATTTTCTTGTCCTACTTCTATGTTGAGAGGTCATGGCATTAGGGTGGTATGACAGGGAAATAGGCAATCTATTCAGCCAAGTGACTTGTACTTCTAAGACATCTTATCTAACTGATGTGTACCCTGCAAAGAGATGGGGAATGTGAAGGTGGGTAGAGCTCTTAACTAGAACATATGTTCTATGTTTCTAGTCTGCAAGTCTTTCCCAAGTCCATGGCCGAATGATTGCAGTCGTCTTCAAGGTAACTGTGTACTTGGACCCCTCAAAGTACAGACAAGGAAAATGATCAGCACAAAGAAAGATGTTGGCTTATTTTGTAGTGTCATTTATAGTGTTGGTTAAAATGAATATTTGTCCTATCTTTGCAAGATAGAATTGTTTTCTGAGCTTAAAATATAATAGAGGAAAAAGTAATATGCAAGATCCCCCACCAAAAAATGGAACTGACTATAAAGTTATAAAATCTGTTTTAGGCTTCTGTTGCTACTGTCCAAGTTCCTTTGACTTCATTAGGCTTTCTAAGACATAGTGATCTCTGTGTAAGTAGGGGGGCCTGGGGGTCAGCTGAAGTGGATTCAGATATTAGTTCTAATATTACTAGCTATGTAATTTGGGGTAAATCATGTAAATTCTCTGTGCCTTTATTATCTCATCTATAAAACAGGTAAGATAATTTATGTTGTGAGGTTTTACATAAGCTAAAAAAATCAAAGTACTTAGAATAGCACCCACTTACTCCATTATAAACATTTAATAAATGTTAGCTATTGCAATTGTTATCTAAAGTTAACAACGAAACTGTAAGATGAGATTTTCTAATCATTAATTCCAAGCAGACAGTCTTAGTTTACCATTACTGAGAGCACCATCAAGCCCCCCAAAATGGAAAATATAACTTGGTGATTGTTATTTTCTATGTTGCAGACCATAAAACTTCCTTTTTAAAAAAATTAAAATAAAAAAAATCAGTGTGGACATCCTTAAATATTTGCTCATCTCCTTATAGTCCTAAAGATCCCAAGTATCAGATCACCTTCTTTATGACATTGTTGGGCTTATTGTTCTGAAAATTACTGCTTCTCAGTTTGGTAGTTCCTCACTGAAACAATTGAGTTGATTTTCTTTCTCCCTCTGGTTCTTGCTACTCATTTGTGGAGAAATTCATACTTTAAAGTTTATTTCCCACTTTGGTTATGCATTTCTGCTCTCTCTGTAAGTACTTTCTCTTATTTGGCAGCAAGACATATTGAGATCCTATAGGGCAGGGGTATTGCCTATTTTTATAGTTTATTCTTTTGTGAGGCTGTTACTGAATTTAGAGAATAAATTGAATTTTGTATGAAATGCTACAAGGCAAGTTTGAGCAGATGACCCAGGTAGACTTCTATTTTTTAAAGATATACTTTTGGTTACTGTCCTTTTGGAATGGAAATATGTTCTATGTTTCTAGTCTGCAATGGACCATCTTACCATTTTCAAATCCAAACCATAGAAATAGGGAGATACAGAAAACACATAATCAGAACCTACAATATTTTCTCATGCTGATAAAGCTTCTTTTAAATTTTAGAGGTTAAACTGAAAGTTGATTTGGTTATGCTGACATATGTTATTATTGTATTTACTTTTTATAATAATTTAGTAAGTGGAAAAAGGGATTTCTCTCTTTCTTTAAGAACTAAGAAGTTAAATAATTTAGAAAGCTGGTATGCAAATTTGGGAAGATTTTTAATATTAAACATAAATCTTTTCATTGCTGGTCCCAGGAGAAAATATGATTGGGGTTGGGCGGGGAGGGACCATCAAGTTTTCAAAGTTTTAAGAAATTCTAGCATTGTTATATGCATAATTTGGGAATGATCCAAAGATGTTAGAGATATTTTTCTTTCTGGAGAAGTCACTGCAATCTTCTGCAATTTTTTTTTTGCATCTACCCTCTTTCTAGGACGTTATTGATTGTCCAGTGAGATGCTTGGTGTCAAGTAGAAACTTGCCATAGGGCTGAGAATAAAACCATGTTCAGATTTTCGGAGATTTGGTGAGTCATTGCATCTGCCCTCTTTTCTACATAATACATAAAGTATTTCTTTACTCTCAAGGAGACAATTTAACATTTTTGTACAATAATGGGAATAAAGAAAACTACCACTTCAGTTAGTTAACCAAATTATATTGAATACATGAGGCAAAGTTTTGTTTGAAAATGAGAACAGTCTGATACCAGAGTCTGAAAGATTCTTCATGTCTTCTTACTATAACACAACATTTTGAGCTTTAACAAATCAGTTTAACGATAATGTAATTAACTTTCAATGTGAGAGAATTTGCAGATGGTGCTGAAATTCTAATTTTATTTTACAGAATAGACTTATAGTGGTTGCTGAGTAGAAGAACATTTTCTTAATTGGTGCAAAGCAGAGAATTAAACTGGTTGCCTCGATTCTATTTTTCTTTAACTATATAAACATTGACCTTTAAATGATTAGTTTTATGAACTTCGTGTTGCCAATTTGTATAGGAAACCTAATAACTGATTTATTGTCAGTGAAGTGGGAATTAAATATAAGGACATTAATAGCTATAAATATATAATATTTTCACCAGGGAAGATTTGTTCAGTCTTCCTCAGAAATGCATCTCAATTAGCTATAACATTGAAATGGGGGAAGAATCACAAGACCAAAAGAGCCAAATGTCTGGGAAAGGAAATGATAAACTTTGCTACAAAATTATTAACTTCCTGGTTTTCAGTTGCAGCAAGGAGGGAGTATCACATTACTTTGTCTTAGAAGCCAGTGATATAAAACACTGACCCAGATTCTCACACTGGTAAAATTCAGTGTGTAGAAGCAAAACCATAATTACTAGATGCTTTTCTCCTAGGTAAATTAACTCCCTGGTTGTTTAAATAGAAAAAAAAAAAAAAGGTTCTTTGAAACTATTCAATAGCAAATAGACTAAAAAGATATTCCCTTATAGTGACTTCTACTTCCTTCACATTACTAGCTGAAACAATCTTTCCCTTTCTCAGTAGTAGCTGTTACTATGCTCATTTCAATTCTGCAAATGAAATTCCCACAGACCGGCAGAAGCCAATAATTTAGTTCAATAAGATTGTAAATTTAGATTCAGGAAGACATCTCTCTTTTCTATTACAGTTTTACATTCAGACAAGCTAAACCGCAGTCATCTATGCTTTTTTTTGAGAAACAAGTATATATCAGACTATTGGATTTCCATTTGGTGAAATTAGGAGCTGCAAGCTTAATTTGCAAAGCCCTACATTTTTAAGTGCCCCAAAACGTTGGAAATTTCTTTTATCACACTTTTATTTGATCATTATAAATTTTGTTTGAGCAGTGATTTTGTTAATTTGAGAAAGTAGAACGGATAGAGTGTTTGTAATGAGAAAATTTGGTTCTAATCCTAGTTTTACCACCAGCTGACTTTTAAACATTCTTCAATACACTTAACGCCCTTGAGCCTAATTGTCCTCATTAGTAGAATAAGGAAGTTGGATGAAATGATCTTTTTTTTTGGTTTTCACCTCCTGGGCTTGCACCTCCTGTGACTTGCTCCAATACTGAGGCTACCTGTTTCGAGAGATTTTGAAGTTTCTGAACAGAACCTTTATATTTATTATATATTTATTATTTATTATGTTGTATTCATTTCCTGATTGTTGTGCACTTCGTGATGTACACAAAGCTCATATTTCTTATATTTAAGTGACAGAAGCAGAAATCTGATTATCTAATTCATTTAACAAGTATTTTAAATTAAATTCACTTAACAAGTGTCTTAAGATGCATCATTAAACAAAATAGGCGAAGATCACAGCTTACATTTCACTGAAAAGAATGATAGACAAGAAGCCAAAAAACCCCATGACATATAAGAAACAAAAAATATACATGCATAACATTATATTAGAAATTCTTCCATGTTATGGAGAAGGAAAAAGAACAAGTAAGGGGGCGTTTGTGGTGGATTGCTTTATTTATTTATTTTTTTAAAAAGATTTTATTTATTTATTTGACAGAGAGAGACACAGCCAGAGAGGGAACACAAGCAGGGGGAGGGGAGAGGGAGAAGCAGGCTTCCTGGAGAGCAGGGAGCCCAATGCAGGGCTCGATCCCAGGACCCTGGGATCATGACCTGAGCCGAAGGCAGACGCTTAACGACTGAGCCACCCAGGCGCCCCGGTGGATTGCTTTATTAAATAGAGTGGGCAGATAGGGCTCATTGAGGAGCAGTTAGAACAGAAACTTGAAAGAAGTGAGGGAGTTAGCCAAGCTAATATCCGGTGAAGAGCAGTTCTGGAAGAAGAAACAGCTAAGTTAAGATCCTCATGCAGGAAGGGGTCTGTTGTGTTCACAGAACCGTGTGAAAGCCGGTATGGTTGGGATGGTCTGAGCAAAAGGAAGGGTAGCAAAAAATGTAAAAAAAGTGTGAATGGTTTTCACCGATGGCCCCAATATTTGATGCCTTCCTTTCCCCGTACACTTTGATACTGATTCTCCAGACTGACTCCTTCTCAAGACTGACTCTGGGTTTGGCCACGTGACTTGCTTTGAGCAATGGGATGGCAGCAAATTGGATTCAAGGGAGCTAGTAAAAGGCTTTTCCTTTCTCTTGGAACCCTGCCACCATGACAGAAGAAGGCTGGGACAGCCTAGGGAGGGTGAAAAGCCCCGAGGAGTGGTGCAGAGGCATCTGGCATCTGCCTGGGATCATCCTGGACCAGACAGCCCTGGGGAACCCACAGCTGACATTTGACACCGCACAGCTGACCAGCAGGTTCATGAGAACTAATCAAGTGGTGTCTAAAGGCAATTTATTTTTTATTTTTTTATTTTTTTTT